ATGTCAGAAGAGACTGATATGTGCTCTCAAACAGAGAGGAGCAAAAGCAAATGGAAGAAGTGACAAGATAAGGGCTGAACAGAAGACTTTAAAGAGCAGCTCAAAAAGACAGGGTCAATTACTACAATGAAATGTGCAAAGACCAGGAGTTAGAAAAACAAAAGGGAAGTACACACTCAGCATTTGTCAAGTTGAACGAACTGAAGAAAAATATTCAAGCCTCAAGTTGCAATACAGAAAGATTTTTTAGGCAAAATATGGAATGATGCAGAAAACATCAAAAGAAGATGGAAGGAATACCCAGAGTCACTGTACCAAAAAGAATGGTCAATGTTCATCTATTTCAGGAAGTGGCACATGATCAAGAACCAATCTACTGAAGGAAGAAGTTGAAGCTGCACTGAGGTAACTGGTGAAAAACAAGCCTCCAGCAATTGACGGAATACCCACTGAGGTGCTTTAACAAATGGACGCTGCACTGGATGCACTTACTCATCTGCCCCAAGACATCTGGAAGGCTGCTACCTGGACAACTGATTGGAAGAGATCCTTATCTGTACCCATTCCAAAGAAAGGTGATCCCAAAGAATATGTACATAATTGAACAACATCATCAATATCACACGTAAGTAAAATCTTGCTGAAGCTCATTCAAAAATGGTTGCAGCAATATATTGACAGGGAACTTCCAGAAATGCAAGCTGGATTCAGAAGAGGATGTGGAATGAGGGATATCATAGCTGATGTAAGATGGATCTTGGCTGAAAGCAAAGAATACCAGAAAGATGTTTACTTGTGTTTTATTGACTATGCAAAAGCATTTGACTGTGTGGATCGTAACAAATTATGGGTAACATTGAGAAGAATGGGAATTCCAGAACACTTGATTGTGCTCATCAGGAACCTGTACATAGACCAGGAGGCTGTCATTCAAACAGAACAAGGGGATACTGTACAGTTTAAAACCAGGAAGAGAGTGCATCAGGGTTGTATCCTTTCACCATACTTATTCAATCTGTATGCTGAGCAAATAATCTGAGATGCTGGACTATATGATGAAGAATGTGCCATCAGGATTGGAGGAAGACTCATTAACAACCTGTGATATGCAGAAGACACAACTTTGCTTGCTGAAAGTGAGGATGCCTTGAAGCACTTACTGATGAAGGTTAAAGACTTCAGTCTGCCATAAGGATTACACCTCAACATAAAGAAAATGAGAGTTCTCATAAATGGACAATAAGCAGTATTATGATAAATGGAGAACAGATCAAAGTTGTCAGGGATTTCATTTTACTTGGATCCACAATCAACACCAATGGAAGCAGCAGTCAAGACATCAGACAACATAATGCACAGGGTAAACCTGCTGCAAAAGATCTCTTTAGAGTGCTGAGGAGCAAAGATGTCTCTTTGAAGACTAAGGTGTGCCTAACCCAAGCTATGGCATTTTTAATCACCTCATACACATGTGAAAGCTAAACAATGAATAAGGAAGACTGAAGAAAAGTTGATGCTTTTAAACTGTGTTGGCGAAAAATACTGAAAAGTACCATGAACTGCCAGAAGAACGGACAAATCTGCCCTGGAGGAAGTGCAGCCAGAACACTCCTTGGAAGCAAGAATGTCCAGACTTCGTCTCACTTACTTTGGTCATGTTGTCAGAAGGGACCATTCCCTGGAGAAGGATACCATTCTTGGTAAAGTAGAGGGCCAGCGAAAAAGGGGAAGGCCCACAATGAGATGGACTGACACAGTGGCTGCAGTGATGGGCTCAGGCAGAGCAAGGTTTGTGAGGATGGCTCAGGATCGGGGAGTGTTTTGTTCTGTTGTACACAGGTTGCTATGAGTCAGAGCTGACTAGACGGCACCTAACAACAACAACAACAACAGTACTTCCATTTATTTCATGCTGGTCATGTGCTGAACCATTATGTCATCATATGAGGCACAACAGAATAGACTCTTTATGCTCTAAGGAGGGAGAAACTAAAACCAAGACCAAACTTAGCAAATGTCTTCCACTTAAAGTCTAATAGTCCCATGTTGCAGGTTGTTAATGAGTCTTTTTCCAATTCTGATGCCACGTTCTTCTTCATATAGTCCAGCTTCTCGGATTATTTGCTCAGCACACAGATTGAATAAGTATGGTAAAAAGTTTGATGAAAAGTCTAAGAGATATGATTAGTAAGTCAATCAGTGAATGGTTGTCCTGTTTCCAAGACAGCCTCACAGGTGGTGAGTTTATTGCCAACTCTTCTTTACAATTGCAGCATGACCCTGGAGCCCACAGTGTTTATCACCCGCCTACCTTCAGGGACCCGGTGAAACCAACTCAACTGCATTAAGCTCCTACTGGGCAGTAATTCTGTTCTTCCTGGAATATGTTTTATAATGTGCTGAGCCCATTACCAATCTATACAGGAGAACAGAGGCTGCCATTAGATTTGATTAGTGCTAACCAATTACTCTGATAGCTCAAAAAATATTTTTTTGGACACAGAAAAATGATCCCATTTTACCCTTGTTCTTCTACTATTTCAATTTCCTGCCAAAATCCTACTGTAATTACAAATAATTATTAAAATATGTTTCTAATTGAAAGCTATTCTGCAGTGTTGGCACATGCGGAATGCAGTACTTTGTGACAACTGAAACAGAGGGACTCCAGAGTTAATATGTTAGATAGAGCTGGGCAGGAAGCTGGCTAGAACAAAGTTTGGCTGTTGGTTCAAAAGCTAACAGGCCTCAGGTTTAACTCCAGTTTTGCTAAGTGAGAACTCACAAAGAGAACCAATATTTACTTGACTTTTATCTGGAATTTACACAATGACAGGATAACCTCTGGCTACTACAACTGATATTCAGTCAGAACATTCTCTCCCTTGCTGGATGCCTCTTCATTCCTTTCAGGGAGGAGCCACCAAGGTCAGAGGTGGTGACCAAAGGAAGAGCACTATCACTTCAAAGTGTCCCAGATTCTCTTCCTTTGTGTATATGTGCATTTTTCTCTCCTGTGAATGGAAGAACCATATTTCTGAAAATATTTGATAGTTTTTTATGCTTAAGGCACAATGTAGATCATTTTACATTTTTCATTCCCAAACCACACAAAGTTAAATTGCTTTTGACTCACATATGGTCTCTGATTTACATTTATTCCTCCTGAGACTGTTGTTTTCAATACAAAAAGTTTCCTACCCTTTCCTCATTGTATAGCAGGAAATTCAGACTATCAGAAAGAATTAATTTGGGAATTCTCTCTCTTCATCTCCAAACCCCTTTCTCTTGTATTCTCAGGAAGAAGGTATACTTTCTTCATCAAGTTCTAAGACCAAAAAGGAAAAAGGAAGAAAAGGAAACACACAGAGGACAACCCACAGAAGAGATAAACCAAAAGCAAACTGACCTCACTGCTATGGAGATGATTCTGACTCACAGCCACCCTCACTGGGTTTCCAAGGCTGTAAATCTTTATGGAAGCAGACTGCTTCATCTTTCCTCTGCAGAGCAGCTGGTAGGTTAGAACCACCAACCTTTTGGTTAGCAGCCTAATGTCTTAACCACTACACCACCAGAGTCCTTATAAAATAGGTAAGTGGTCCTCAAATGATTTTACTGTTTTCTCCTTAGCATTTTGTCTGTTCCTTAATCTATGACAGAGATGATTCCCAAATCTCACAAAGAAATTTAAAGGTCATTAGATGCATAACTAACTGGAGGTGACATGTTGTTGTTGTTCTTATGTGCTGTCGAGTCGGCCCCAACTCATAGTGAGCCCTCCTTGGGTTTCTGAGGTGGTATCACTACAGAAGAGCCCAACCTTCTTTCCGAGGAGTGGCTGGTGGGTTTGAACTGCCAACCTTCTGGTTAGCAGTCAAGTGTGTTAGGCACTATGCTACCAGAGCTCCTGGAGGTGACATAGTATGTTGGAAAAGATTCAGACAGGAGGCAGAAACTCCAGCTTGACATTAATTGCCTGCTGCATAATCCTGGGCACATCAATTAAATTCTATGAAGGTGAAGCTCTTCATCAATGAAAAGGTACTATTATCTGCTTGCTAACGTAATTGAAAGGATCAAATGAAGAAATAAATGTAAAAGTGCTTTGTAACTTATAAATAAAAATATTAAAATAGATTTCTATCTTAATTATTACTTCTGAATACTTCCTATATGCCAGGCACCACTTTACTTTATTATGTAAAGTACTTTAAAATTAAGTACTTTACATAATAACTAATTTAATCCTTGCAATTACCTTATGAGGTAGGCACTATTATTCCCCCTATTTTATATAAAAGCAAATGGAGGCACTAAGGATTAAATAACTTGTCCACCAGTAAAAAGATAGCAAGAGGAAGAGGTAGGATTCAGTTCTAACAGTCTGACTCCACAGGCTTGTACTTTGCTTCCCTATATAAAGTTTTCAATTTAAAAATTATGTAATCTCAGAATAAAATTGGGGAAACTTGACAACATGCTATAGAAAGCTCACTTCTAGGAAAGTCATCATTGAATAGTAACCATAGTTACAGTGCCTGCACAATCAATTAAGTAGGCAAAGGCAGCCAGCACAGTGGCTGTTCTTATTCCATGTGGAAAGGACAATCTTGAAAGCCAACAAAGGGAGCGTAAATGCAAAACCACTCTTTCAGACAAAAAGAGAAGGCACCAGCATTTTGTGTAGCCAAGCAAAAACCTGATATATGTCTAAAGTCTTCCGTAGAATATTTATGCTCTACTTAGATAAAGATTGATTGAAACTGCTAATGTGATCATAATTCTGCAATCAAGGACCAATTGGTATACCCAAGGCCAGCTGTGTGCTATAACTGGAGAAGGAAAAATATCATCTGACTGTGCAGTTTTTCTTTTATCTCAACTCTAGGAATTTCACTTCAGCTCAAAGATATTAATCATTATTTCAGCTAACGAAGGAAAGGGACCAGAAAGTGTAGACACAGAGATAAATCTATGTTCTAATCCCCCTCCCGTACCTGCTCCCTGGAGAAAACCTATTGGCTTCTTTTTCCTTTTCTTTCCATTTCTTTCCCTTGTTGGAATTCCTTCGCAAAGGTGCCCTATAATGACAGCACACAGTCAAAGAGGGGAAGCTGAAATTTTCTCCTTTAATTCCTTTTTTACAGAGGGAACTAGCTTTTAATATCATGATGTGCTTACCCCAGGTCCACAAACTTCCGCTTAATTTTTCCACCTTGCATCACCAATGAACTGGATGCCCTCAGTGAGACAGAACCTTTGGCACCATCTAGGATATACATATATATGGAAAGATCAGTTATTATTATTTTAAAACTATGACTCAAAAGTCAGTGCATATCGAAATCTAAGGGGTTTACTTAAATTTCTAATTGTAAAAGAAAAAATAAAAAAGGATGTCTTTTTATAAGAAACAGCAGCATATTGCAGCATATTTAGTTAAGCCAGTAGAGGTCCTGTTGGGCCTAATATTCATCACAAAGAGTTTTCACTTCACACCTATTGGAATGAACAAAATAAGCAAACATAAACACTATCAAATCATCTTTTGCATTCAAAGATGGAATCAAAATGACTTTCCTTCTGTTCCTTCTTTGGCTCTAACTCTTAACTTCAAATGCCTAGGCTTGTCCTCCATGTCTTTGGTTAATGCCTTCCAACATTTCCCTCAAAACTTCAAAGCCCAGTACAGAACATCGCCACTAGGAGTCTGGGATGTTTTGAGAGAAAGTGAGAATAGAAGCTGTCCCTTTTGCTCTCCCTTGTTAATGGACTATGGCCAGTCCTGGGACAGAGAAAGGTAGAACATGGGGGAGACTTTTAAGCAGATCAGCTATAAAACGTATGTACCTTGTGAAAGGTCCCTCTCAGAAGTTGGACTGGAGCACAAACTGGCAGGCTCCCATGAAGTGGAAGATGCCAAATCTCCTCAGTGGGTGGGACTGACTGATCTTTGCCTGGCACTCTAAAGGGGTAGCAGCTGCTCAGGGCTGGGACACTTGAAAGGATGCCAAAAAACAGTCAACAAGCTTGGTGAACAGAGTTCAGTGTCAAATGTAGTAACTAGATTCCTCTGGTGGCATTTATTCTACCTCAGGCATGGTAGATAACTCCTAAAGCTAAGCTTGTAGTATTCAGACACTATTTGGCTTTTATTTCAGCATATCCAATGACCTGATTAACCAACTTGGCGTTTTAAATCTAATGCCTATTTGTATATGAAACTACTCTCTAATTTTCTGTTGGTGTATGTTTGTCTACCTTCTTTTAAGAACTGTTACAAATTTCAGGAACTTTCCGGCATGGAGTACAGAGAGAATGATACCTAAAAAAGTGTTCAATTACCCTTGCAGGTTACTTTTGCTCAAGATTTTCGTTTTCTTCAAGAGAAATTTCTAAACACATACAGATCTTTAAAAAACATAAAGTGTTCACACAGTTGAACCATAGCTAAGGGTCTAGTTCAAACCTCTAAAACAAAACAGGACACTGACAAAAACTCCTAAAATTTTTAGCAATGGGCTTTTCATATTTTTAGCTAATGATACTCAGATTACAATAATCAATTCCTTGATATATACATAATGAAATGCAAGAGCCAGGAATATGTCCATGTTAAGATCCACTTATAGCCTCAAATATTATTATGGATATTTGCATCATTACTCCTTAGGGAACTAAATTAAATAGCCATAGATATGAAACATAAATACACAGACAAACTCCAAAGTGATGGCACAAATGCCTTCTAAGGTGATTCTGCTAATGGACTTTTTTTTTTTTTTTTTTTAAAAAAAAGCAGGATTTCAATTTTCTTAAGAGAGGCAGAAATAAAGTGCTGGATTCTTCCAGATCAATTCTAAAACAACTCTTAATGGCTAGGAGTACAACATAGTTAAAAGGGAGACTGCCTAATTATTTTCTGAATTAGAGAGAGCTGCGAAGTTTTTTAAAAAACAGGTGGTAAGAGGACCCGATGAGACAATGTACATGAAAGCACTCTGTAAGCTATTAGATACACGCATTTGAACATCTCAGGACTAAAAACCTGATTTTGTCAATCACAGAATCTGCTGCTAGGCAACCTCCCATCATTATCTCAGACATTTACCAAATTGTGTTCCAAGGAACATTTGAATGAATGCTTCCAAAAGGCTAAGAGGCAAGATGAAGTAACAATGTACTTCCCCATTATAAACCAATCAAACACATCATTAGTGTATATCAGAACTTTTATTCTGCATTAAAACCAACATTGGTTTGGTATGACTTCAGCTAGAGAGAATATACATGAGATGCTTTTACTGTTCTGTTGTTTTGTTAGCTTTATACAAGACTTCCATTAGGCATTCTGGAATCTCTCCAATACTACCTTCACGAGCAATTAGAAGTATGGGTCATCCAGTTGGGTGCCTCAGTTTTAACCTTTGGCAATCTGTTTTTCATTTTCAATGGTTATAAATGATCTACTGATAGCTAAATCCTAGGGTCTTGTCTTAGACAGTATTCTCTTTAATCTCTAGGCAGTAAGACTCTTGACTACCTCTTCTTCCTAACTGGGGACTCCTAAATCTGCTTCCTAGTCTGGCATTTTTCCTAAGCCCACCAGCTCTTCTGTGGGCTTTTTTTTTTTTTTTTGAGTTATTAATCTTTCTTCATGCTTTTAATGTCCTATTTTAGAAAACGGCAAGACTATCCTTGCTGATGCTAGAAAACGTTTGAGCAGTTCTGACTCTCATTTTCTTCCATCTGTATATAGTCAACTCACTTTTCATGAGCTTGTGGATGATTTTTTTCCCTGTCACTGTCTCACCTACAATGAGACCACTGCTACTGTTTTGTACCTCATCTTGCTCATTACTAGTGTCTTTTCCTTTTTATTTGTCTGCACAGATATTCTGAATTTTCCTAGGATTATAGGAAGGCTATCAAAGATATTTAAATTTTAGAGCTATAGATTTAACCTACTAAGTTCCATTCTATGTGCAATCAGTCTACATAAACAAACTGCTTCAGCCAGGCTGGAACAGCCTTACTCTTTAAATACATATTATGTATACTTGTCTTGGTTAATGTCATCTCTCCACAAGTCTCATTTATCAAACTCAGCTAGATGTAATCCCCCCCTCATTTGAGAAATGGTATACAGTTTACCGTATACCTATAGTATATAGTAAGGAGCTCTAGTGGCATAGTGGATAAGGCATTTGGCTGTAACCCAAAACAAAAGGTCAGTGGTTCAAACCTACCAGCTGCTCCATGGAAGGAAGATGGGGAAATCTACTTCTGTAAAGATTTACAGCCTCAGAAATCCAACGGGGGTCGCCATAAGTCAGAATCTATTCGATGGCAGTGAGTTTGGTTTTGGTTTTATAGTACATAGTAAGGAGCTCTACTAGAAGAGTACCACTTTTGAGTTCTATAGAAGAGCTGATGCTTTTGAGTTGTGGTGTTGGCAAAGAATGCTGAAAGTACCATGGACTGCCAAAAGAAATAACAAATCTGTCTTGGATGAAGTACAGCCAGAATGCTCCTTGGAAATGAGAATGGCCAGACTTCATCTCATGTACTTTGATCATGTTGTCAGAAAGGGCCATTCCCTGGAGAAAGATTATCATGCGTAGTAAAGTGGAGGGTAAATGAAAAAGAGGAAAGCCCTCAATGAGATGGACTGACACAGTGGCTACAATGATGGGCTCTGGTTTAGCAAGTATTGTGAGGCTGGCACAGGACCGGGCAGTGTTTCATTCTGTTGTACGTAGTGTCGCTATGAGTTGGAGCCTACTCATCAACACCCAACAACAACAAGAAGGAGCTCTGGTGGCACTGTGGTTAAGCCATTGGGCTGATAACCAGAAGGTAGGCAGTTTGAATTCACCATCCACTCCACAGGAGGAAGATGAGGCAAGGCAATCTACTTCCATAAAGATTTACAGCTTTGGAAATCCAATGGGGCTGCTGTGAATCAGAATCAATTTGATGGCAGTGGGTTTTTATAGTATATAGTAACATGTAAATAATGATTCCAACATAGTAATAAGAAATGAATCCTGTAAAGTTTTCAAAATGCCAGGTTCCACTTATTAGGATATTAATTCAACAATTAATTTTGAAGCATGCTCTGTGTCAGGCAATGTGCTAATCATACATAAAGTCAGAGTGATAATCTGGTACATTAAGTAGAAAACTAATAGTGATTAATTTACTCTACTTATTCATGCCTGAAAGAGTTTTGGTGGTGCTGTAGTTAAAGCATTGGTCTGTTAACCAAAAGGTCAGTAGTTTGAACCCACCAGCTGGAGAAAGATGAGGTAGACTGCTTCCATAAAGATTGACAGCCTTGGAATAACCTTATGGAGCAGTTCTATTCTGCTCTATAGGGTCACTATGAGTTGGAATCGACTTGATGGCACTGGGTTTCGTTTTGGTTGGTATAACTGTCTTAACAGGGGCCTGCCGCTTTGTGAGTACAGAGACCAAAATTTTAGTATTAGGTTTCTCAGAGAATAGGCATGTAGAAAGGATTGTCATGCTTTCCACAGCTATTACCCTTTTTCACAAATGTCTAGAAATTATAATCTTTTCCTTCCTCTACTTTTAATGGAAATGAAGTTAGATGATCCTTTATCCCATAATAATGGACTCTAAGTTTTCTCTGAGGTCCTTCAAGTATAAGAACAAAATAATGATTTGTGAATATGGTACTGAGGCAACTTAGAAAGCACTCAATCCAATTAGAGTAACCAGGGTATAAGACTCGGGATTATATTCAAATATACCTATAGTTTAATTACCTTTGTAGTAACTTGGTAGACCAAAAGTAATGGCATATTATATTTTGTTGTACAGATAACAAAGATAAACCCTTTATATATACAATACTGCATTACAGTGATAACAAACAATAGTCTATGGGTAAATAGATGGGTAGACAGGCTGAATGATCAGGTATGTCTAGGTGAAAGAGAATCTACCCAGGCCCATGTATAAGGCTGGAAGATGATATTTCTACATACATATTCACATGTGCTGTAAGAATGTTCAAATCACTAGAACTAACAGGGGCAAGGCTATGATAACTTCTTAGGCACAACCATCCCGATGGATTGAGTTGTTGGACCTGTGGGCTCAGGGCCATGGTCGCCGGGGACATCAAGCTCAACTGGCATAACATACTACACAAAAACACTGTTTCACATCCTACTTTATTGAGTACTGACTGGGGTCTTAAAAGCTTGCAAGCGGCCATCTAGATGCAACAATGGGTCT